TTCACTTGTAAGAAGAAGAATGAGGGTAGACATGATCGAAGTGTACAAGCGGAAGACGGGTATTAATAAAGGGGATATTAATAAAGTCTTGAGGATATCTCTCCAAGAGAGAACCCGAAATAATGGATATAGGAAAGTATTGGTTTGGAAATAGGGTAGTTGATGAGTGGAACAGTCTGCCTAGTAGGGTTATTGATGCTAAGACCTTGGGTAGTTTCAAATTTAGGTTGGATAAATACATGAGTGAGAGGGGTTGGATTTGAGTGGGACTTGTACATGAGTTAACCCTTTCAGGGTTGGTGCCATACTAGTAGGGCTTGCATGCCAGGGTTGGTGCCATACTAGTACTTGTATTCTAGCGCCTTCAAATGTAGCAAGAGAAAGCTGGTGGGCCTACATATAAAAGAATGGGTCTATGTGGTTGCGGCTTAGCGCTTCTTTTTGATTATAATAATAATAATGGGTCTATGTGGTCAGTGTGCACAGTACAAAAAGATCCTGCTTCCATTTTCCATGGAAGCAAAGAGGGGAATATATGAGAGTGGAGATATACTAACACTCCTATATGGATGTAGAGCATGGGTGGTGAATGTTGCAACAAGAAGGCTGGAGGCAATGGAGATGTGTCTGAGGGCAATGTATGGTGTGAATATAATACAGAGAATCTGTAGTTTGTAAATTAGGATGTGTGGGGTTACTAAAAGTATTATCCAGAGGTCTGAGGAGGGGTCGTTGAAGTGGTTCAGACATTTAGAGAGGATGAACAAAATAATGATTTGGAGTGTGTATAAATGTAGTGAAAGGAAGGCAGGGTAGGGGTCAGCCTAGGAATCGTTGGAGAGAGGGGGTAAAGGTTTTTATGTGGGAGGGGCATGGACTTCAAGCAAGTGTGTGTGAGCATGTTCGATAGGAGCGAGTACAGAAGAATGGTTTTTATGATTTGACATGCTGTTGGAGTGTGAGCAGGGTAACATGAAGGGATTCGGGGAAACTGGAAGCTGAACTTGAGTCCTGGAGGTGGGAAGTACAGTGCCTGCGCTCTGAAGGAGGAGTGTTGGTGATGTAGTGTAGGTGTGCCTATGGCAAGATAGTGATGGAGTGAATGATGATGTAAATGTTTCTTCTTTTTCAGGTCGCCCTGCATTGGTGGGAAATGGCTGATGTGTTGATAAAAAAAATTCTACAAAAAATGTATTCACTGTAAGCTAAGGACGAAAATATTTTCAGTAATGTGTGTGTACTGTGTATGCATTTCTTAGACCTAGCTCTAATGTTTTATAGTGTAAACATGTTATCAGGCTTTTATACGCATTTGAAAGAGAAAAACGGCTGTTGAACATTACGGTGATTTTTTTTTTGCTTTACAGCAGTAGCCCGGAACCTAACCTGCTGTATAAGCAAGGCCCTCCTGTACTGGGGTATATAGTCCTCTTTAAATATAAACTGTTGTGTTGAATAAAAAGAAGTAAACAGTATCATTGGCACACATTTAACTGTGAATAGGAAAGATACACCATAAGTTATTCTCCACAATTGAAAATTAAAGTTTGGCATTGAATATTCTTTTTGTTTGGAACTTTATTTTCCAAGGAATTTACACAAGTAGAGTATGTATTTTGGAAACATCCTTTTTTTAATGTTCAACATTTTCAAGAATAAACATAGTACATTCAATAATTAGAAATTCAAAATAATTCAAAATTTCTTATTCAGATGAAAAATCTGAACAAGAAAGATTTTTGTAATTGTAAGAAAGAATTTTTTGATCTTAAAACTGCTATTATCTGTGGCAGACCCACACAAAAAAATGCTTGAGATGTAGAATTTCTAAAAATTCAAATTATTTCTCTTACCATTTAAATGTTATATTTTAGTAAAATACGAAAAAAAAAAATTGAATAAAACTAATTCATGGTGAGGTAAGGTGGTGGAAAATGACCCCAAGATGGCAACACTATTATTCCAGCAAGCAAGTTTTTATTTTTAGGTATATATATTTTAACATTTGTTGTTTTCAATAAATAAGTACATCTGTATACATTATTATTACAGTGGTAGGTACCTTGACTTACGAGTGCGCCAACAAGTCACGAGCCGTCACTCGGTCAATTTTTTGCTTTGAGTTGTGAGACAAAATCTGAGTTATGAGCAAGTTTCAGATATGCTGCCACTAGTTGGCTCAGCAAACAACACAATATCCACCTAGCATCCTGGCATTTTGTGCTTTTTGTGCAGTTATTTTACCAAATTTCTTTTTTCTAACCATGGGTCCTAAGAAAGTAAGTGCAAAGGACAGTGCTGAGAAGAGGATGATGTCCATTGAATTAAAGCACGAAATCATAGAAAAACACGAGAAAATCACTTTTATTTCAGTGTTTTCTCTTATAATAAGACCTCAGAAGGGCAAGAATGGGAAAATATGGTCAGAGCAATAATTTTTTTTACCTAGGGAGTGGCTGCCACTAGTCTGGCAGCGAACTACATGGTGCCACCCCCTTGGGCACCAGAGCTGTTTGCGGTGCACTGGACAACCCTACCAGACAGCAAGAGGCATTGCACCCAGGACATTCTGCAACGACTTGCCTTGGCTAGCATTGTGGGTGCGGAAGGCCCAGGGTGTGTGCCATATTACACCGATGGCTCCAGAGACCCAGTGGCAGGCCGCACAGCTGCTGGGATGTTCCACAGCAATCTGACAGCAGGTTGGCGCCTCCCAGACCATTGCACCATCCTCCAGGCTGAACTCTTTGCCATCCAACAAGCTCTGCAGCATGCTCTTGCAGACCATCAGCATCCCCCCATCATTCACGTTGATTCCAAGGCAGTGATCCAAGCACTTATGCACAGAGAGCCAAAGGACAACATATACTTAATCACATCCATCCGGGGTGACATGCAGACTCTCATGGCCCCGGGTCGCAGGGCTACCATCAACTGGATCCCGAGCCATGTGGGTATCCCTAGCAATGATGCTGCAGATGAGGCTGCTAGGACTGCAACCCTTGAGGCACAGCCACGTGCTGCAATCTCCATCAGCCTCAGCCAGATTGCGCTGTGGGCTGCCGGTGCGGCCAGGCGCCCATTCCCTGACCCTGGGGATTCACGGAGCCTCTGTTGGTATGTCAGCGCGACCCACAGGGCGCCCCCTCCAAGTATTCGGACACAGTCCAGAGAACTGAGGGTGCATATCCACCGCCTACACTTAGGGTATCCCACCACTGCGCGGATTGTTGAACGGGCACGAGAGGAGCTCTGTGCCCATTGTGACCGAATGGTTCCGAAGCCCTTGGTGCACTACCTGTTAGACTGCCCGGCTACGATGCCCCTTCGCCGTAGACACTTCCCAATGACCCCAGTGGGGCAGGCCCGAGAGGATGAGGCAGCACATCTTGTGTACTTAACTGTCAGGGACTTGGAAACCTTACTTCCAGTCATTGCACGTCATCTGCTCCCCCCCGCTAAAGTTGCTGCGAGGGCCTGCTTTGGGCCTCCAATGCACTGCACACCAGCCGCTGTTAGTGCACACTAACGTCTGGTACGCCATCTGGCCATAGAGCTGGTGAGGTACCCCCCCTTCCTGCTGAAGACCTGCCACGCAGGTGCAAGTAAAGATAAACGACACTTCCCTACCCGGGGAGCCAATGCCGGGTCACCAAAATGGAAGAGACCCGGGCCGGGATACCATATCGGCGAATCAAATAGAATAGAATAGAACCAGTCATTCTATCGAATGAGTGGAAGAAACCACCCATTTACCGATTTCAACTATCCAATACAGTGGTCAGAATTTAGCAATTTTGCCAATTTCACACAAATTTCAAAAGATGCCAATTTCTAAATAGGGTCCAGAATAAATGAAGAAAGACATTTCTGGCACTAAAATGACATTTCCTCTGTTCATTAGTCACGTCCCAATGCCCCTCTTACATTCTTTTGCTTTCCACTTTGAATTTTTATTCTCACAAAAAAATAGAAGATTTACTGTTATTCAGACTACTGCATTACCTGGAGTTTACCTGGAGAGAGTTCCGGGGGTCAACGCCCCCGCGGCCCGGTCTGTGACCAGGCCTCCTGGTGGATTAGAGTCTGATCAACCAGGCTGTTGCTGCTGGCTGCACGCAAACCAACGTACGAGCCACAGCCCGGCTGGTCAGGAACCGACTTTAGGTGCTTGTCCAGTGCCAGCTTGAAGACTGCCAGGGGTCTGTTGGTAATCCCCCTTATGTATGCTGGGAGGCAGTTGAACAGTCTCGGGCCCCTGACACTTATTGTATGGTCTCTTAACGTGCTAGTGACACCCCTGCTTTTCATTGGGGGGATGTTGCATCGTCTGCCAAGTCTTTTGCTTTCGTAGTGAGTGATTTTCGTGTGCAAGTTCGGTACTAGACCATTAGTGTAAAAAATGGTATAAATAATATAAGCGCACTTGTGAAAGAATATTAGACTCACCAGCTGACGTGTATTGGACGCATGGCATGATTTGTTTACTTTTGAACTTTGGTAAAAATCGAACATTTCTGCTACTTTGAGCTCAATTTCAAGGTACTTTTCATTGTAAAATCAGTCAAAATTATCTCAATTTCTGTAATATGTCCTCCATTCTATAGAATGAGACCAGGAAAACTAGAATACAACAAATACCATACGAAAATACAGTGCAAAGTCGCTGTTTTAATCCTAAAACACGGTCTAAGTTTTTTTTTTCATTACGCACTGTGTGCTGCAGGATTTTTTTTTCTACTGCGCACACTGACCACATAAGACCCATTCTTTCATATGTAGGCCCACCAGCTTTCTCTCACTAGATTTGAGGGCGCTAGAATTTAGGCGTACTAGTACGCCAAAAACCCTGGTGCGTAAGCCGTACTAGTACAGCACTAACCCTGAAAGGGTTAACGTACACCAAAATTTAAAGAAATTGGACCATAAATAACGGAGTTCACTTCTCAGCCATTAGCCGCCCCTTAGCGGTATATTTTCATATGGTTTTTATGGTTGTATTCTTGTTTTTTTTTTTTTTTTTTGGTCTCATTTGATAGAATGGAAAATATGTTACAGAAATGGATATGATTTTGATTGCTTTCACAACGAAAAGTACCTTGAAATTAAGCTCAAAGTAGCGGAAATGTTCGATTTTTGCCAATGTTCAAGATTAAACAAATGAGGTCACCTCCAATGTGTGTCCACCTGGCCAGTCTCATATGCAATCATGAATGGGTTGACATTATTTATACAATTATTACAATAATGCAGTAGACTGAAAAACAGTAAATCTTCTAATTTTTGTGTGAATAAAAATTCCAAATGGTAAGCAAGAGTATTATTATATGAATACATACGTACGTACTAATAAATAATAATGATATGTATAATACATAACACTATAATAATAATTATAACGTGTACGTACGAACTACGTATAATAATTTAGTTTGAGCATGCCACCACTGATGGCAGTGCCTATCGAAACTAAGCTCAGCAGTCCACATGTAACGGAGCTTGCATCGAGGTTGAAGGAATTCTCATGTTTTTCTTACATTTCGTGTAGTTATTTTGCGAAATATCTTGTTTCTAACTATGGGTCCTAAGAAAGCAAGTCCACAGGAGCGTGCCGAGAAGAAAAAGAGGGTGATTGCCATGGAGTGTAGGAATTAAGTGTACAGAGCATTAAGAGTGACAGTGTAACATTAAAAGTGTAACAGTTATGTGATAGAAAAAGGACGACACGAAATGAACTGACAGTATATGCTGTAGTACTACATAATTTCTTTACATTATTATTATTATTATTTTCCTTATGAAACTACGTAGTGATCTAATGCAGTTTGCCTCACAAACATTCCGTTTTCTGTTATAATAAGAGCATGGGAAGGTATGTAGTCACGACTCTGTGGTGGCCCTTATAGACCCCAACAACCACAATGGCTGCTGTGTTGCCACTGCACACTACCACTCCTTACATATGTAATATTTTATTCATTCTAGTGTATATATCATGTTTCTATGTTATTAATATTGTTTGTCATATTAGATGAATTGTGATATTAGATAAATAAGCCGTAAAGTTGATATTAGGGAAATATTGAAGTATTATGTCTTGCCTGGAATTCAACTGGAATGGATTAATTCCATTTCAATTAATTTAAATGAGAAAAACTGACTCGACAAACGAGCAAATCGAGATGTGAGCGAGGTCGTGGAATGGATTAAACTCATAAGTAGAGGTTCCACTGTGTTTTCTCCTGCCTCCCAAGAGCCAGGAATTCCACTGGAACGGATTAATGGCATTTCAATGAGGAAAACTGATTTGATGTAAGAGCAAACTGAGTTACGAGCTCTGTCATGGAATGAATTAAAATCGTAAGTCAAGGTACCACTGTAATGGTAATAACTTAAAAAAAAAAAAAAAACATGTTTTATTACTATGAACTGGGAACAGAACATTACATCTACAATTTCAGTATCTGCTACAAATTTTTTCCAATAATTATTGTTTATTTCTAATGATTATTTTAAGTTTTAATTCAGAATAGGGAACTATGATACTGCAAATGTTTCAAGATGAAATAATCTTTAAACAGAGACAGGCACAGTTCTATATCACACAGCAGCGCTGTATAGCCCTTGTGGCTTAGCGCTTCTTTTTGATTATAATAATAATAATAATATATCACACAACTTTAAAAAAGAAAATACTAACACACCAGCTGTCTCCCACAGAGGCAGGATAATCAAAAAAAGAACCACTTTCACCATCACTCTTACCAGAGGCAAACTGACATTATAGCTATGATATCCCTTTAAACTGCAATATTCAATTGTATCTACGGTGGGAGACGGCCGACTTGTTGAAAAAAAAAAAAAAATCTACTAGTAAGGCACTTGGTGGTGACACGTAATGTTGCCAGGGTAACTGGTGTCAAAGGTACTAGTGGTGCCATATGTGATATTGGCAGGGCAGCTGCCAGGGTAATTTGTGAAGTTGGCAGAGCAGATGGTGTCACATGCGGAGTTGCCACAGTAACTGGTGGTATTAGGCATGCTGGTGGTGCCACAATTGCTGTTGGTAGGGCTACTGGTCTCGTGATGTTGGCAGAACTGGTGTTATCTGGGGTGGTGCTGATGCTCACAATTTGTGTTGGCAAGACAACTGGTGGTGCCACATGTGTTGGCAGGGCAGCTAGAAGAGTAACAATGTTGGCAGGGGTATTGGTCTCAGGAGTCTTGGTGGTGTCACATGTAGGGTTGGCAGAAGAGCTGGTGGTGTTGCTTGTTGGTAGGGCACTTGGTGGTTTTCAGGGTTGCTAGTAATACCATATGTGGTGTTGGCAGGGTTACTAGCAGTGCCCTGTATAGCATGTTTACATTTCATATGAGAATTATGTTCTTCACTGTGAAAATAACTGACAGACAACTGCATCCTTCCTTCACTCTGCTGATCCAGCAGCTAGTGATTTTTTTTTCTCTGGCCTGAGAGAAAAAAGCTTAAAGCAGGAAAATCAGGTGGACATAATACACAAATGTCCAGCTGGATATACAACATATGTTATACACAAATTCCAATTTTGAAACAGAATTTCAAATTAAAAACATATTGTGAATTTGGGAGAGCATTCTTAAAATTTATTTTCAAAATTTTGGAGAGCTCTGAAGGACACCATAAACCCAAGATTTAACAGATCTTGGAAATATGGGACAAAACTCCTGGGTTAACCGATTTGGAAATGACAGTGTTGATTAGAGACATGTACATTATTGTGATGATGGCAAAATGAAAATTGCCACAATCAGCAATACCAGCCATCAGCTTCCCCATTAGTTTCTTAAATTGAGGGTATAATTGATGCAAATGAGTCCAAGGAACTCTATCCTTCCCTTCCTTACATTGAACCTAAGTGCCTCCTATTTCCCAGGTACCTCGACAACCTCTAAGTTTAGCACTTGCCCCTGATTAAAATAAAAATGTATAGTGAATGTTAGTAAACAATATATACAACACTTGTTAACATTAAAATCCCCATTTAATAAAACCAGTCATAAGTTAATTATCAGCTCTGAATGATTCACGCAAGTATTCAGTGTATTTAGCAGATCTATCTTTTCACACGAAGGCAGGGTACCCAAGTACCTTGCCTTGGTGTGAACTATTAAATAAGTGATTGGGACACAATCCCAATCACTTATTAAATAGCTGTCTTGCAAGAAGTGCACAATCACACCTCTATTGACCATCCAAATTGCAACACCCCCACACATCCTTATGAATATAATAATTAAGGTAACTGATTTTTTCCTTTACTACCCAAGATATTCCCCATCAACTTATTGCATCATCTCTGCTGCTTCTCCTCCAGTTGGACTGTCCCCAATGTGCAGATCATCAAGCATTTCTTCCAGGCTCACTTGAGGAATTTCACCTGCCTCACTTTCACAGTCATCGCTAGCCATCTTGGTCACATCACGGTAAATATTGACATTTGTGCGATACTGTGGATCTTCCTCCAGATCCTCCAGGAAGTCAGTGTAATCCCTGAGTGAGAAAATGAGTTAGGATTTTTTCTTTGTTGTTTTATATGTAGAAGTGTACATGAAAACCATGGCACGAAATAAGATAAAATAAAAGATGGAAAGTATAAAAATTGAACATATAAACTCAATCTTTGTACTATAGTACCTCTTGCATAAATGGCATCACAAAAAACTAGAAGTGTACCACAAAACTAGAAAAATATCCACAGTCACATTTTGTGCACACTGTGTATGCACATTTCACTGTTCACAAGTATGCAATGTTTAATGCATTTTCCATTCACTGTGGCTTTCATATTTTCATCCTACTCACACCATATTCTTTCAATGCACTGGCCATATCCCACCAAAGTAGGGTGGCCCCAAAAGAAAAAGAAAAGTTTCTCTTTTTAACTTTAGTAATGTATACAGGAGAAGGGGTTACTCGCCTCTTATGACCCGCATGGCTTATGGAGGAAGAATTCTGTTCCACTTCCCCATGGAGAATCCTACTCGCATAAACTTCAAATATAAAGCTTTCTGCATCACCACTTAAATATAATGCACAATTCTCTCAATGTTATTAGTCAGACTTCCACTTAATGTTGTCCCATATAATTTACATTCCATATGCCTACTCCCCGAATACCTTCCACATCCCCCCCCACAGGTGCTGTATATCCTACGGGTTTAGCGCTTCCCCTTGATTATAATAATAAAATCCATATGCCTACCTACTTGATTGTTCAAAAAGATTACCAGTGTAAAGAAATGTGAATCAAATATGGTCTTTATGTCGTACAAGAATGGTATACAATACTGACAAGATGATTACCTCACCTTCTGTATATAGTTCTGTCTTCAAATTATGTCCTGGAATTTGTATTAATAGAGCCTCTGGATGGCAAAACATCTAAAATAAAGATACCCAGATGTTGCACATGTGTCTTAATTTCATCATGGCCTTTATAGTCAAACATAAGAGTGAACCATTTGAATCCTAACTTAAATATATACAGTACAGTAAGTGTCTGATAAAAGTGATTAATAGGAGAAAAGGAGTTCCACTTAAGTGGAAAATGCCTTATATTAAAAGTTCCACTTAATTGACCGATTACTGGATAAGGACAAACACCCAATAAAACAGACTTAATTTGCTGTATTGATAGACTACTGGACACAAAGTACTGCAAGACATATATCATTTGAAGTTAAAATATGTAATTTAGCTTGTACAAATAAATTTTATACCTGCTTCTAAGCAAATACCATAGAGTGAACACTGCAGAGTATGAATAAATCATTCATTAAAATTAAGCATAAAAATCTATAAGAAAAATCAGCTAACTTTTTGAAGCAACAAACATACTTATTCTGACTATGAGCATCATCGTCAAGACCAAGGTGTTTTAGCCTCCAACGACGACGACGGTTTCGTGTAGCCTTATCTGCATAGATTTTTTTCACAAGTATAACATCAGGAACCAAATCTGGATTTATTTTGTCTATGTTTGTATCATTAACATTAGACAACCGAAGGTCAAAGCTGAAATATAATAAATAATTTTTTAACAATTCTAATAGCAACAGCTTTGAAAATTCATAATATGCACTGCCATGCTAAATTTTCCATAATTATATTAAGACTTGGATTCAAACATTATCTCACAATATTGTATCAACCAGATCTTCTGTTAATATAAAAGAATATTAGTAATCAGTAATATTTAGTGAAGGAATTCAGAGAAACAGGCTATTTTTATATAGCCGGACTTGAGTCCTAGAAATGGGAAGTACAATGCCTGCACTCAAAGGAGGGGTTCGGGATATTAGCAGTTTGGAGGGATGTGTTGTGTATCTTTATACGTATATGCTTCTAAACTGTTGTGTTCTGAGCACCTCTGCAAAAACAGTGATTATGTGTGAGTGAGGTGAAAGTGTTGAATGATGATGAAAGTATTTTCTTTTTGGGGATTTTCTTTCTTTTTGGGTCACCCTGCCTCGGTGGGAGATGGCCGACTTGTTAAAAAAAAAAAAAAATTAGTAATCAGTGATTCAAGCAGTGCTATAATGTCAGCATTATGCTTGCTTAAATCTTAAATTATAACTAAAGATACTTAAACAATTACTTTTATTTAGACACTTTTAGCAATATTTGCTGTATGTATAGTAAATCTGTAGGAGAGAGGTGAAAGTGTATTAACTAAGGGAGGAGGAAGTTAGAGTGAGATATAAGCAACTATTGGCAGAAAGGTGGGCTAATGCAAGTATGAAAAGTGAGGGGGTTGAAGAGAGTTGGGATAGTTTTAAAAATGCAGTATTAGAATGTGGGGCAGAAGTTTGTGGCTATAGGAGGGTGGGTGTGGAAGGAAAGAGGAGTGCCTGGTGGAATGATGAAGTAAAGGGTGTGATAAAACAGAAAACAGTAGCTTATGAGAGGTTTTTACAAAGCAGAAGTGTTGTAAGAAGAGCAGAGTATATGGAGAGTAAAAGAAAGGAAAAGTGAGTGGTGAGAAAGTGCAAAAGGAGAGCAGATGAAAGAGTGGGAGAGGTACTGGCAAGAAATTTTGATGAAAATAGAAAAAAAATTGGAGTGAAATAAACAAGCTAAGAAAGCCTAGGGAACGAATGGATTTCTCAGTTAAAAACAGAGTAGGAGAGTTAGTAGATGGAGAGCTGGAGGTATTGGGTAGATGGCAGGAATATTTTGAGGAATTTTTAAATGTCAATGATGAAAGGGAGGTGGTAATTCCATGCACTGGTCAGGGAGGTATAACATCTATCAGGAGTTAAGAAGAGCAGGATGCGAGTGTAGGGGAGGTGCGTGAGGCATTATGTAGAATGAAAGGGGGTAAAGCAGCAGGAACTGATGGGATCATGACAGAAATGTTAAAAGCAGGAGGGGGATAGTGTGTTGGAGAGGTTGGTATTTTTGTTTAACAAATGCATGAAAGAGGGGAAGGTACCTAGGGATTGGCAGAGAAAATGTATAGTTCCTTTCTATAAAGGGAAGGGGGACAAAAGAGATCGTAAAATTAAAGCGTACGGTAGGGCTATTGTTGAAAGAATTAGAGGTAAGACAGAGAGTAGGATTGCAGATGAGCAAGGAGGCTTTAGAGTGGGTAGGGGATGTGTAGATCAAGTGTTTACATTAAATCATATATGTGAACAGTATTTAGATAAAGGTAGGGAAGTTTTCATTGCATTTATGGATTTAGAAAAGGCATATGATAGTAGATAGGGGAGCAATGTGGCAGATGCTACCTATTCCATACATGTGTATGGAATAGGTAGTAAGCTACTAAATGCTGTAAAGAGTTTTTATGAGGATAGTGAGGCTCAGGTTAGGGTGTGTAGGAGAGAGGTAGATTACTTCCTGGTAAAAGTAGGTCTTAGACAGGGATGTGTAATGTCACCATGGTTGTTTAATATATTTATAGGTGGGGTTGTGCAAGAAGTAAATTCTAGGGTGTTGGGGAGAGGGGTGGGATTAAATTATGGGGAATCAAGTACAAAATGGGAGTTAACACAGTTACTTTTTGCTGATGATACTGTGCTTATGGGAGATTCTAAAGAAAAGTTGCAAAGGTTAGTGGACGAGTTTGGGAGGGTGTGTAAAGGTAGAAAGTTGAAAGTGAACATAGATAAGAGTAAGATGATGAGGGTATCAAACGATTTAGATAAAGAAAAATTGGATATCACACTGGAGAGAGTATGGAAGAAGTGAATGTTTTCAGATATTTGAGAGTTGACATGTTGGCAGATGGGTTTATGAAGGATGAGGCTAATTATAGAATTGATGAAGGAAAAAAGGTGAGTGGTGTGTTGAGATATTTGTGGAGACAAAAAAATGTTATCCGTGGAGGCAAAGAAGGGAATGTATGAAAGTATAGTGGTACCAACACTCATATGTGGGTGTGAGGCTTGGGTTGTAAATGCTGCAGCAAGGAGGTGGCTGGAGGCAGTGGAGATGTCCTGTCTAAGGGCAATGTGTGGTGTAAATATTGTGCAGAGAATTTGGAGTGTGGAAATTAGAAGGTGGTGTGGAGTTACTAAAATTATTAGTCAGAGGGCTGAAGAGGGGCTGTTCAGGCAGTTTGGTCATTTAGAGAGAATGGATCAAAGTAGAATGACATGGAGAGTGTATAAATCTGTAGGAAAAGGAAGGTGGGGTAGGGGTCGTCCTCGAAAAGGTTGGAGGTAGGGGGTAAAGGAGGTTTTGTGGGTGAGGGACTTGGACTTCCAGCAAGCATGTGTGAGCCTGTGAGATAGGAGTGAATGGAGACAAATAGTTTTTGGGACATGATGAGCTGTTGGAGTGTGAGCAGGGTAATATTTAGTGAAGGGATTCAGGGAAACTGGTCATTTTTATATAGCCAGACTTGAGTACTGGAAATAGGAAGTACAATGACTGCACTTTAAAGGATGGGTTTGGGACATTGGCAATTTGGAGGGATATGTTTTATATCTTTATATATGCTTCTAATCTATTGTATCTGGGTGCCTCTGTAAAGATAGTGATTATGTATGTGTTAAATGAAAGTGCTGAATGATGATGAAAGTATTTTCTTTTTGGGGATTTTCTTTCTTTTTGGGTCACGCTGCCTCGGTGGGAGATAGCCGACTTGTTAAAAAAAAAAATATTAGATAATTATAAACTCTGCATTAATCAGAGACTGTCTTAATTAATAAGTGAGAGATTTGGAAGACTTGCATTTGCACCCTTGTGCCTTTAGGTACATAAGACCCATACTCTAACAATTAAAACGTTATACATATAAAAAAAAAAAAACAGTAGATAAGAAAATAATGCTCAGTTATAATTATTATGTTGGATATATTCTGCCATCCAATTCCAGTAGCAAGTTACAAAGGATTAACAAACAATATTTGTTTCTTCTTGTAATGAAAACTGAAATGTTATTACGTACCCCAGAACTGAATCTCCTGGATTGAGAATGTGACCGAGATGAGTTCTGCAAAAGATCACATTATCCGAGCCAAGCTCACTAGCTCGTTGGACCCAAACCTCTGCTACCTGGTGCTGTTGAAAAAAATAGTTAAATTTTACACACACACACACAAACATAAAAATATATACATAATCCATTTACATAACTTTTTTATGGTTGAAAGAAAGTATTAGAGCACTAAAAGAAAACAGATGCTTCCTTTCAAGGTGAGTGTTTTGATGATGGTGAAGGGCTCTTGACTCAAGAAATTGGAGCTACCCTTCACTTTCCTTGGATCAAACCTGATTACTTCCCATTACCTGGTACTACATAACCAATGTGAGTTTAATGCTTTCACTGATCATAATGCTGTAATAATTAAGTTTCCTGTCTTTTTTCAAATGCAAAATCAACCATTCATTATTAATTCACTGTAGCAGGTAAAAACAGTCACTCAGGACTATTTAGTGTACTTTGGACATTTGCCCACAACAAAGAGCCATGTACAAACTCATACAGCATAGGAGCTCCAGGCACACAACCTCTTCATACTCTGAATGTCTCCTATACTCAGTGCATTTGTATTGCCAGAAGGGCACAGACATCATAAATCAAATACTGTAGTCCTCTCAACTTTTAATTAAGTTAGAAGAGGATTTATAACTGGTTATAATTATGACCATAATTTTTGAAGGGGTGGACCGGTAAGCCAGCAGAAGGCCTCGGTCAGATGACTTAAAGCTCCAACGGCAGGTCATCATTTGACTAAGATCAGCGTCAGTAAACTGTTGACCTGTTTCCTGATGAACCTTACCTAACCTAACCTAGAAAAGGAAAATGTGCAGCATCTAAGAAATGTTGAGGATTCTTTTCAGAATATTTGTGAGGAGAGACATGTTAGGTGAAGATAGGCAGAATATCAATGAGAAGCTTAGCAGAAAAGAAAGCAACCCAAAATCACAAACATACCTTTCCCTCTATAGATATTCTTTGTCTCCAAAGATGCCTTAATGCACCATCCACCTTTTCCCATTCATCATTTCTATGGCTCACCTCATCTTTTGTATACAGGAGGGCTGCACTTACAGGGCAAGTTAGGGTCTGGACTAACAATGAAGTGTATATATTTCGGTAGAATTACCAACAATATGTAAAGTAAAAGGACACAAGTGCAACTAATGTGACATTTTATTGTGGCAATGTTTCACTCTCCAGGAGCTTTGTCAAGCCGTAACAGCTTGACAAATCTTCTGGAGAGCGAAACGTAAAGGAGGTTCTGTGGGTGATGGGCTTGGACTTCCAGCAAGCGTGCATGAGCGTGTTAGATAGGAGTGAGTGGAGACGAATGGTATTTGGGACCTGATGAGCTGCTGGAGTGTGAGCAGGGTAATATTTAGTGAAGGGATTCAGGGAAACCGGTTATTTTTATATAGCTGGACTTTAGTCTTGGAAATGGGAAGTACAATGCCTGCACTTTAAAGGAGGAGTTTGGAATATTGGCAGTTTGGAGGGATATGTTGTGTATCTTTATACATATATGCTTCTAAACTGTTGTATTCTGAGCACCTCTGCAAAAACAGTGATTATGTGTGAGTGAGGTGAAAGTGTTGAATGATGATGAAAGTATTTTCTTTTTGGGGATTTTCTTTCTTTTTGGGTCACCCTGCCTCGGTGGGAGATGGCCAACTTGTTAAAAAAAAAAATAATAATAATAATAATAATAATAAGTTCCCTTGAAGCTTGATGTAAGAGTGTGTCACTTGCCTTATCTTATCTCTTCACTCCACTGCTGACAATGATAAACGTCGTCTTATCTTATAACCCCACTAATAACAGTGGTGACATTTGATGAGCCTTCACTTTATTTGTTTTCACTCTTACACATAAACATGTCTGTCTATCTGTCTGTCTCAGAGAGTTGCTCATGAACCAGCTGGTATTACACACAATCACTATCTACAAGCACAGTATAGCACTTTGTCTGGAATTTTTGGGTTATCCTAGGTAATTTACACTATGTACAGTATAACTGTATGTACTTATGTGTTCCTGTGAGATAGAGCCAGATATAAAGACAGAGATAGATACAGACAGACAGACGAAGACAGAGACAGCCAATCAGCCAGCCTACCGAAATTACAGTTCCAGAATTGTTTCTTATTACTTAGGGCATAGGTTATAGGACATTCTGGCAAGATGACACTTTCCTCTTAAAAGGGGAGTGTTAATACGACATGACATCAGTGAATCCTTGGTGTTTACTGCGCTGTTTGCTCTAACTGGTGCTCAATTGAACTAGTGCTCCCACAAGGTACTAAATGGCCCCAGATTTTTTTAATACAGCACACACCAAGGGTTAAGACCCATTCTATGCTGACCAGGCATCTTAGGCCCCATCGTGCCAAATTTGGAGGCAAGAAAAATAAAACATAGATCTACATTTGGAGCGTTAGCAGTAAGAATGTAGATCTGTTTGGACAGTTAAGGGGGTTAATTAAAAAAAAAAAAAAGATTTTTTTTTTTCAAAAATATTCGGAGTGCTACGCAAGTGAATGTAGTGAATGTAGATCTATGTTTGGACAGTTTAAGGGCTAACATTTCTGTCATGATCCCATCAATTCCAGCTGCTTTACCCTATTTCATTTTACACCACTACTCTCACATCTGTCTCTTCCTCACTCCTCAAGGATACTATACCTTCCTGGCCAATGCATGAAATCACTGTCTCCCTTTCCTCATTAACATTTAATTATCTTTTTTTTATTATTATCACACTGGCCGATTCCCACCAAGGCAGGGTGGCCCGAAAAAGAAAAACTTTCACCATCATTCACTCCATCACTGTCTTGCCAGAAGGGTGCTTTACACTAGTTTTTAAACTGCAACATTAACACCCCTCCTTCAGAGTGCAGGCACTGTACTTCCCATCTCCAGGACTCAAGTCCAGCCTGCCGGTTTCCCTGAACCCCTTCATAAATGTTACTTTGCTCATACTCCAACAGCACATCAAGTATTAAAAACCATTTGTCTCCATTCAATCCTATCAAACAAGCTCACGCATGCCTGCTGGAAGTCCAAGCCCCTTGCACACAAAACCTCCTTTACCCCCTCTCTCCAACCTTTCCTAGGCCGACCCCTACCCCGCCTTCCTTCCACTACAGACTGATACACTCTTGAAGTCATTCTGTTTCGCTCCATTCTCTCTACATGTCCGAACCACCTCAACAACCCTTCCTCAGCCCTCTGGACAACAGTTTTGGTAATCCCGCACCTCCTCCTAACTTCCAAACTACGAATTCTCTGCATTATATTCACACCACACATTGCCCTCAGACATGACATCTCCACTGCCTCCAGCCTTCTCCTCGCTGCAACATTCATCACCCATGCTTCACACCCATATAAGAGCGTTGGTAAAACTATACTCTCACACATTCCCCTCTTTGCCTCCAAGGACAAAGTTCTTTGTCTCCACAGACTCCTAAGTGCACCACTTACTCTTTTCCCCTCATCAATTCTATGATTCACCTCATCTTTCATAGACCCATCCGCTGACACGTCCACTCCCAAATATCTGAATACATTCACCTCCTCCATACTCTCTCCCTCCAATCTGATATTCATGTAGACAGCCTGTACTGTCTGCACAGACAGCCCATGCTGTCTGCCAGCTTAGTTCATATTTCACGCTATGCTGGTGCTGCCACCTAGGTCTTGCCACTTCAGTATGCCCAGACTTGCCTCGCCCTCACTCACACAGCGGCCTAGCATCAACACACAAGGCCTCCCAGCTCTCTCTCGTGGGCTGGCCCTGCCCGGGCCATGGGCACACACACACAAGCCTGTGTAACCCACCACTACTTAACAATAAAGTAAGAAGCCTCCGAAGAAGTATATCATTCACACCCGCTACCAGCTACCAAACAAACCCGTTATAAATGGTGACAGCGGTGCTTGCAGCAGTTGTGTTTGCCTGGAGAGAGGGAAGAAGAGGTATGAAGTCATCTTCACTTCATCACCCTACACAAGAAGCATCCGTCTCTCAACGAGTTATCCTGATGTCGTGTCTGCACGTTTGAGCATCCAGACACAGGTACAAGCAGGATCCAGCCAAAATTTGCTGAAATTCTCCGAGAATTGTAATGGCGTCCCAGTGACCCTACGCTGTTTCTCAAGTCACGTGTTCAGCGTCACTTGTATGTTGCTGTTGTTGTTCAGCTCAGCACAGCTGTTTCAGCAAGCCAGAGGTGAGTTTTGTGGTGATTTCTGCATCCAGTGTGTTTCCCCTGTGTTTGTGGGTGGAGGGGGAAACCCGCCAGATCCCCCGCCCTGCATACACTCACGCAACGCTCCTCGCCACCACCTACCATACACCACTCACCACTGCCACTCCCTCTGCTGTGTTTTCTGCTGTTTTTCGTATGAATTCATTGCCAGTGCTGTGTATCCAAGTGCCCGAGGCCACTCAAAGCTACGTGGATCACGACGTCACGGGGGTTTGTGGGCGATGCCCAGTAGACCTACAAAGCCACGTGAGTTACCAGATGCCCCAGGCCTCATGCTGTGGTCTGCTGCCTGCATCACATCGACGCCACCCACGATGCTGCCCGACTTCATGACGTCCGATGTCTGCTGACGTCACCTCACGATGTCTGCCTGACGTCCCCTTTCGAGATGTCTGTTGACGTCACTGCTGCTGACGTCACCTCGCGACATCACGCCTGACATCACATGATGTCACCATCAAGTGTTCAGTAATTATTTCAGTATTGTCGAAAAGATTGAGAAAAATATTTTGTCGTTTTGTTAATTAATTCCTCTCAGTCAGTGTTCTCACATTTTAGTATATGTCTTAGTGTCATTTTTATGCACAAAAAAAGCATCTTTTGCTAGTTAAGCCATGTTGTACCGTATGTACAGCGGTGTGTTTGTAAGTTTCCGTGTGTCCAGTGAGGTCTGTGGTCAGACCCTTGAGTTGCACCACTGTGGTAAGTCACCCGCGTGACCAGTGTTTGACAGCTGATTTCTCAGCCCTGAGCATATGAGCCCCCTTGTACAGAAAGCTTTTATGCTCGTCGCTCGTGATGTTCTG